GTAGAAGTAGTAGTAGGAGTAGTAGTAGTAGTAGTAGAAGTAGTAGTAGTAGTAGTAGTAGTAGTAGAAGTAGAAGTAGTAGAAGTAGTAGTAGGAGTAGTAGTAGTAGTAGAAGTAGAAGTAGTAGTAGGAGTAGTAGTAGTAGTAGTAGAAGTAGAAGTAGTAGTAGGAGTAGGAGTAGTAGCAGTAGGAGTAGTAGAAGAAGTAGTAGAGGTAGTAGGAGTAGTAGTAGTAATAGGAGTAGTAGTAGAAGTAGTAGTAGTAGTAGTAGCAGTAGTAGTAGTAGGAGTAGTAGAAGTAGTAGTAGAGGTAGTAGGAGTAGTAGTAGTAGGAGTAGAAGCAGTAGTAGTAGAAGTAGAAGTAGTAGTAGAGGTAGTAGGAGTAGTAGTAGTAGTAGTAGTAGAAGTAGAAGTAGGAGTAGTAGTAGTAGGAGTAGGAGTAGGAGTAGTAGTAGTAGTAGTAGTAGTAGAAGTAGGAGTAGTAGTAGTAGTAGTAGTAGAAGTAGAAGTAGTAGTAGGAGTAGTAGTAGTAGTAGTAGAAGTAGAAGTAGTAGTAGGAGTAGTAGTAGTAGTAGTAGTAGTAGTAGTAGTAGTAGAAGTAGTAGTAGAAGTATTAGTAGGAGTAGGAGTAGTAGTAGTAGTAGTAGAAGAAGTAGTAGAAGTAGTAGTAGTAGTAGTAGGAGTAGTAGCAGTAGAGACAGGTGAAAGTTGATGTTCACAGATGATTCTCATTCAGGGCCCCGTTCCACAAGGCGAGTTACCGCTGTGGTGATCCTAACTCTCTTGTTATAACATAGCTTTGTGGATAGGGACCAGGGTGCTGCTGCACAAAGCGATCTTAGCGCTAAGGTTGTTTGTACAACGGCCCATTTCTGGTGTCCCCCGCCGTGATATTGCTGGAATATTACTAACAGCGGCGTAAAACCATACTCACTCACTCACTCACTCATTGTACAACGGCACCCGGTACTGGATATCATTCTACTTGCTCTCCTTCGGGGTGGTTGCTACCTCTTTGAAGGTTTCGACCTTTTTCTCCTGCACGAGTAAGTGTGTGATTTTAAACAGTGAAGCAGTCACATCCGACACATGGACGTTTACAATTTTGGTGAAACCGACCGTAGCGCGTGTTTGTGGCTGACAGACCTGGGATCACCATGAAACTATGATTCGAAAACACACAAAGCGGATCCTGGTAATTAAGGGAGACAACTCAACATAGTCTGCATGTCTGAACACCAAATATCTGTAGTATACAGTCGTTGTGATGCTATGTCTGCACCAACTGTGTCGGAGTGGTGTTCTGTACTTGTAATCTTGTACTCTTCAAAGTCCTCAGAGATAGAAATCAAGACTTAGGGACAAAGTAATTCTGTTTCATCTGATCCGGGTGTCCACACATACCAGTTGGAGCGGGCAGTCACTCCTGTCTCATGTAAGGACGGGTATAATCACTGACACCCTGCTACTTGAGTCTCCGTTACAGTATACTTATATTGATTTGTGTCTTACATATGTGTCAGGTGGGAGCGGGGAGGCAAACACTATCAGTACTTCAGGTTCCTGCAATGAAGTATGTAGCTGGAAGATTACGTCCCAGTAAATATGTAGATCTCTAGGATCATTGTATACCCGCAGCACGTTTAATGTATGTCACCTATCTTTGCCTTGTCTAACTTACCATACTGAGTGTGTGAGTGAGCTTAGTGAGTGAGTGAGTGAGTGAGTGAACCTGGCCTATCTTACCGTACTGAGTGAGTGAGTGAACCTGGCCTATCTTACGGTACTGAGTGAGTGAGTGAACCTGGCCTATCTTACCATACTGAGTGAGTGAGTGAACCTGGCCTATCTTAACGTACTGAGTGAGTGAGTGAACCTGGCCTATCTTACGGTACTGAGTGAGTGAGTGAACCTGGCCTATCTTAACGTACTGAGTGAGTGAGTGAGTGCACCTGACCTATCTTACCGTACTGAGTGAGTGAGTGAACCTGGCCTATCTTACCATACTGAGTGAGTGAGTGAACCTGGCCTATCTTACGGTACTGAGTGAGTGAGTGAGTGAACCTGACCTATCTTACCGTACTGAGTGAGTGAGTGGACCTGGCCTATCTTACGGTACTGAGTGAGTGAGTGAACCTGGCCTATCTTACCGTACTGAGTGAGTGAGTGAGTGAACCTGACCCATCTTACCGTACTGAGTGAGTGAGTGAACCTGGCCTATCTTACCATACTGAGTGAGTGAGTGAACCTGGCCTATCTTACCATACTGAGTGAGTGAGTGAGTGAGTGAGTGAGCGGCCTATCTTATCATAAATGAACGAGTCAGTCTGGCCTATCTTACCATAGATGAACGAGTGGTCTATCTCACCATAGATGAACGAGTCAGTCTGGCCTTTCTCACCATAGATGAACGAGTCAGTCTGGCCTATCTCACCATAGATGAATGAGTGGTCTATCTCACCATAGATGAACGAGTCAGTCCGGCCAATCTCACCATAGATGAACGAGTCAGTCCGGCCTATCTCACCATAGATGAACGAGTAAGTCTGGCCTATCTCACCATAGATGAACGAGTCAGTCTGGCCTTTCTCACCATAGATGAACGAGTCAGTCTGGCCTTTCTCACCATAGATGAATGAGTGGCCTAACTCACCATAGATGAACGAGTCAGTCCGGCCAATCTCACCATAGATGAACGAGTCAGTCTGGCCTATCTCACCATAGATGAACGAGTCAGTCTGGCCTATCTTACCACAGATGAACGAGTCAGTCTGGCCTATCTCACCATAGATGAACGAGTCTGGCCTATCTCACCATAGATGAACGAGTCAGTCTGGCCTATCTCACCATAGATGAACGAGTCAGTCTGGCCTATCTTACCGTACTGAGTGAGTGAGTGAACCTGGCCTATCTTACCATACTGAGTGAGTGAGTGAGTGAGCAAGCGGCCTATCTTATCATAAATGAACGAGTCAGTCTGGCCTTTCTCACCATAGATGAACGAGTCAGTCTGGCCTATCTCACCATAGATGAATGAGTGGTCTATCTCACCATAGATGAACGAGTCAGTCCGGCCAATCTCACCATAGATGAACGAGTCAGTCCGGCCTATCTCACCATAGATGAACGAGTCAGTCTGGCCTTTCTCACCATAGATGAACGAGTCAGTCTGGCCTATCTCACCATAGATGAATGAGTGGCCTATCTCACCATAGATGAACGAGTCAGTCCGGCCTATCTCACCATAGATGAACGAGTCAGTCCGGCCTATCTCACCATAGATGAACGAGTCAGTCTGGCCTTTCTCACCATAGATGAACGAGTCAGTCCGGCCTATCTCACCATAGATGAATGAGTCAGTCCGGCCTATCTCACCATAGATGAACGAGTCAGTCTGGCCTTTCTCACCATAGATGAACGAGTCAGTCTGGCCTTTCTCACCATAGATGAACGAGTCAGTCTGGCCTATCTCACCACAGATGAACGAGTCAGTCTGGCCTATCTCACCATAGATGAACGAGTCAGTCTGGCCTATCTTACCACAGATGAACGAGGCAGTCTGGCCTATCTCACCATAGATGAACGTGTCAGTCTGGCCTATCTCACCATAGATGAACGAGTCAATCTGGCCTATCTCACCACAGATGAACGAGTCAGTCTGGCCTATCTCACCATAGATGAACGAGTCAGTCTGGCCTATCTCACCACAGATGAACGAGTCAGTCTGGCCTATCTCACCACAGATGAACGAGTCAGTCTGGCCTATCTCACCATAGATGAACGAGTCTGGCCTATCTCACCATAGATGAACGAGTCAGTCTGGCCTATCTCACCATAGATGAACGGGTCAGTCTGGCCTATCTCACCATAGATGAACGAGTCAGTCTGGCATAGATGAGTCGGTAAGAGTTATTTAAACCACCAACATCTGGTCCATGGCAGACTAATGTTTACTAGTGAATCCTCATTGATCCATTAATAAGCAGTGATTGGCACTGAGATGGCTCCAAGCATCTAAACCCACATAGACATGCAATCAAACAAGTCACTGAACCAGACCACCCAATCCATCACTTCTTACAACCAGCAAAGGGGACCTATTCTAATGTTTGTTGATTGCTGCCACACTTAGCAATATTCCAGCTATAAGACAACAGCCTGTATAAGATTGAGACTGCACCAGACAACCCAATGATTGATATTATGAGAGCCTCTCACACCATCAGGTACGATGACACATCAATAGCCAAATTATTAATTATTTTAACATATGCTTAGGATAGTCTCAGCAACCCATGCTTGCCATAAAAGGCGGCCATGCTTGTCGTAAAAGGCGACTAACGGGATCCGGTGGACAGGCTCACTGACTTGGTTGACGCCTGTCATCGATCCCAATTGCGTTGATCGATGTTCATGTCAATCAATGGATTGTCTGGTCCAGACTAGATTATTTACAGACCGCCGTCACATAGCTGGAATATTGCTGAGTGCGGTGTTAAACAACAAACAAACAAACAAACTTAGGGCTAAGACCACTTTGTGCAAGTGCGACCTGGTCCCAGAGCTTGGCCCTGTTCCACAATCTTAGCACTAAATAATTGTAACTCTCACACTTTAACACAAGGCTTACAACAGTCGTAGCACTAAGATCGCTTTGTGCAGGTGCGACCTGGTCCGAGAGCTGGACCCCTTTCAACAATCTTAGAGCTAAATTACCGTAGCTCTCACACTTCAACAAAGGCTTACTACAGTCGTAGCCCTAAGATCACTTTGGGAACGACACCAAGGTTTCCATTGCACAAATAAACCTTAGCGCTATGACTGTCTTAAATCTATGTTAGGGTATGGGAGTTTCAATCACCGTAGCGCTAAGACGGCTTTGTACAACGGCACCCTGGTCAGATGGTCATCATCCAATTCAGGCCATAATCACCAACATAGTGGACACTAAACCCCCTTTCAGAATGAGGCTGACACTTTCATGAAAAACAAATACCGATATTAGTATGAAATCTTTATTCATGCAGAACACAACCACTAGTCCACAATCATCCCTTCAAGTAAGCAGTCTTACAAACTTCCGTTGTCATGACAACACGGAACACAAACTCAACTGCAGTTCAGACTGTAGCATCATGAGGTGACAACCATGTTGGATGCAGCATATTATGAAAACATCCTCAAACTGCATTACATCTCACAATACACATCCACCAAAACCTCATCAACTCCAACTCCTGTGGACTATTGAAAACATCAAGGATTTCATGTCAGCCAGGTTACTTATCATACAGCTTTAAGCCAAACATGAGTTAATAAAATACAAATTATTGGTCAGCAGGTTAGATCAGAAGGCACTTTATCAACTTCTCATTTCTCTTTAACACAAAAATTTACAATTGCACGGACGGTTTAGAAAAATATCTGCCATTATAATCAACAATGAATGTTTTAAAGCCATGTAAATGTGATATTGCTGAGTCTTCCAATGGCTATCAGACCTGCACCATAGTGCACACTTACATCAAAAACCAACAATATAATTTATTTGCAGTTCTGAAGAAACACTGTTTATTCCACTTAAGAAACAGTGAAAACCATGAAACGTAAGGCACTTTATACACTGCAGACAATAAAGTTTTAGTTAACTAGGCCATTTTGCATATCAGATTCATATTGAGGAATGAGGACCTCCGGCACTTGGTTTGTAGCAGTATGGAGAGACAAGGGAACCACTGGCAGTGACATAAGTGACTTCAGTTTACAGTTACACACAAATGATTGATAGCATTCAACATGCAATAAACAGTTTAGCACCAGCAGCAGGAAAATCAGCAAACAGTTATCAAAACTGAACTTAATTCAAACAACTTCCTCTACATGTCTATTCGGTGGGATATGTTTAATCAAATCTAGCAGACTTCATCCATGCCTGTGTGTGCAATTGAGAATTAATCTTATATTAACGTGACATCTGTACATGGAAATCAAGACAACCTCATTCAATCAGTTGATTAAAACAGAAATTCCGTAATCATTTCACAAACCAGTGAATAGGTCATTCAAAATCCATTTGAAATTGGTATTGCTAAATATCAACAGAAATACCTTTAAAATACAGTAGGCAATTGTGTTGACTGTGTGGCAATCCCACATGCATAACTCTACTTTCTTATCAAAACCTTCCCATACCAATTGTTTCTGCAGCAACATTTTGTTTTAAATACTAACTACTAACAAATCAAACATTACATTCACAATAAACAAATCAGTTTACAGAATTAAATGATTAGATGCAAACTTAACTTCCGTGTTTAGCACTTCATGTAATGATTTAGAAATGTTCTAAACATGAAAACAAGATTCATTCAAAGACAAGCAAATGGAATGCTACACTAAGCTTTCTTCTTAAGGAGAGGAGACATTCACCGTAGATTAAACCAACACTTCTTTCTCAGACCTTCAGACTTTTAAACACCTTAAAAGTTTAAGAGGTTATACTTAGAAAGGAGTGCAGCCAATGTTCACTAGAACTCAATTCAATACAATTGTCTAATAGAGTCTGATCAGGTCTTTACAAGCTGTTTCAAACAAGCACTGCTATTATTTAGACTAGAACTGGATTTTCTTTAATGTTTTGTGTATAATATAACCATCTACACTTTCAAGCAATTCATTTTAATAGGTTTGACGAGTTTTACATAATAATAAATGCTCAACTTCAACTGAGATTCACTTAACAAAATATAATTGTTATTTCCTTGGCATGCCAGTGAAACATTGCTGAAGATTCAGTCTACACAAAATGTTTGTATTTACACTGTAATAAAAACATATGATACATAACTTGTGACAAGGTCAAAAGTTCAGTAGGTCATATGCTGACCTTGACCTTTATCTAACATACAAGTAACAAGTCATCAGTCTGTAGGATAGGTCACTACATTATGACACATAAAATAGGTCACATACATGAAATAATTGGTATGGACTGAATATTTTTCAAATTTTACAACCATGTTATACTTCTATTAGTCTATTACACAAGTACAAACAACAACAAGTAAATATAGTGAGGATGTAACAAGCAAATTTACAGAAGTTCACACTCGGTGAATGTGGAAAAAGTGTTTGCTGATTTTTTTTTAAATAATGTAATTGAAGGCTTGTGTCAAGTCTACTTACTTGTGTATTCAGGCAAATACAGGTTGTAAGATTTATGCTTAATTTCTGCACTTTCATAATGCTTAAGAGATATAGTCATGTCAATTCTTTTACTTTTTTGCGTCAAATTTCAAGTTCCTCGCACACTGAGGCGAGTCAGTTTTCGCCCATAACTGATCTTTATGAAAATGATGACACTGACTAGAAACATAACTGAACAAACATCAAAACATCTAAATAATTAAAATAATGTAATTGAAGGCTTGTGTCAAGTCTACTTACTTGTGTATTCAGGCAAATACAGGTTGTAAGATTTATTCTTAATTTCTGTACTTTCATAATGCTTAAGAGATATAGTCATGTCAATTCTTTTACTTTTTTGCGTCAAATTTCAAGTTCCTCGCACACTGAGGCGAGTCAGTTTTCGCCCATAACTGATCTTTATGAAAGTGATGACACTGACTAGAAACATAACTGAACAAACATCAAAACATCTAAATAATTAAATTTAATTATTTTCAAAGCAAAAATTTATTGCCTTTGTGTTTGGTGTAAATAATTTAGTATTCTGATTTTAATTCAAATGAAATTCTTTATTGACTTATTTTCATCAATTTCATAGCAGCTGTCAACGTCACAGCATTTATCATTTCAATAAAAATTCCAAAATAACGGCTTGCTTGTTATCCTCGCACAGTTGACGATACATCCATAAAAATATAAATAATAACAAAGCTGGTGGTATAGAGAAGTAATGGACTCATGCGTATCACAGGTGAACTTTGAAAATTAAAACTTTTAAAATTCTTGTTTATGTCTCCAAAATGAACCAGTTGTCTTCAGGTGTGTTTTTCCTTCAGGACAGAAGAATGGCACTACACAATGAGAGGACTATGTATTTACATAAACGCGACAACCAACAAAGACTATCAAGTCACTTCTAGAGTTCTGGCCAAAGCAAATACATAAGGCGGTTATCGTCCTTTGTTCAGATTCAGCCTTCAAATGAATACATTCCCTTCTTTTTGACTTCAATGACACACAAGAACTTTATACAGCTAATCGCGATAACGTCCACAGATGAATTCCCTGGGAATCGAACTATGCCGACACAATCACAACATCTGTAGATTCAACCTGTTCCTGTCACCTCCGCCATCACAAGGAAACTGACAGACACCCACATAGCACTATCTAGAGAATCAGTGTCCGTGGCTTCAGAGACGTCACATACGACCTAGCTAGTTCCGTCATTTCTAACTGGTCTGTAGTCATACCACAAGCCACTCGTTCAAAGTTGACATCCAGCTGGAAGAAAAAACAAGCAATATGACTAAATTGAAAGAAAGATGCAATGCTAAAACTAATAAACCTTCATATGTGACTCAAATGTGAAACATTTCGATTTGCCAGACCAATTCCAATTTTTATATTTTATGAATGTGAAAATTATTTCCTATTAACCTGGCTTTTCTTCTGTCATTTTAACTTCAGTTACATATAAAGTTCTTGAAATGAAATATTAACGAAAATACAAAGTCACAGATATTAACATAAATGTTTTTTTCATTTGATCTTTTTTCATTTTTTTGTTTTGCTTTCAACCTTTAGGGCTGATTTCTGAAAGAAGATCAAGTATTTACTTTGCCTTATAAAAGACTTGAGTTGTTATTTTATGCCCTTAGGCTACAAAAGACATGCTGTTCCAATACTTGTAAAGAAACTTTTTTAAGAATCAATAAATCTCAAAGCTTCAGAGTGGAGTTGATACATGGTTATTATGATGACATTGTGGGATTATCAGTAGATTAATATTTACCTTGACCAGAGCTTTACTTGGAATATCGGTAAACTGTATTCTCTTGCTTGACTTTTTAGCTTTCTTTACCTGGAACTACAAATACAAAAAATGAGTTCACAGTCTTCAAAATAGGAAGGCAATAATAATAGTCAAGATATCTATGATCAAGAAGCAATTTGAGAGGACTTAAATAATCAGTGAGTGAGTTGGGGTTAACGCCGCTTTTAACAGTATTCCAGTTATATCACGGTGTGTCAGCTTAATGAGGGGGGAAAGCCCGAAGTGATGCAGGTCTCAGATGTTTACCACATCGGTGAAACCCACGAGCAGGCATGATGCTGACAAACCTAGAAACATAATCGGGGGAACCGGGATTCGAACCCACAATCATAGGTTTCTAGCGTGCCCAAGGGACGCAACTCTGCACAGCGAATTGTGGTGCCTTAGATGACTGGGCCACCCGTGCCCCCACTTAAACAATGAAAAGGTACATACCGAAGATCCAGGAGATTTAGGCAGAGCAAAGACATCAAGAACCTCCTCTGGGAGAGTGTCCTTTATAATGGACGGCGGAGAGAAGAGCAGGCTTGTGTCACCCAGCAAGGACTTGCTCTGAAAGAGTGAGTGAGTGAGTTGGGTTTAATGCTGATTTGAACAGTATTTTAGTTACACCATGATGTGTCAATTTGATAGGGGAGGAAAGTCTGAAGTGATGTCTTAGATGTTTACCACCAATAAACACGAGTATAATACAGACAAACTTACAAACCAGGATTCAAACCCAAAATTATAGGTTCCTGACATGCCTAAGGGACGCAACTCTGCACAGAAAATGCAGTATTTTAAGACAACTGGGCCATCCATAGCCCTGCTCAGGAAGAAGACAAACAGTAACATACACATTTTCCCCAAATACATGTAAATATGCCAGTATGTAGCTGATGAAACAATATGAAGAGATTATTTTCGCTATTTTCCATATCTTGTTTGGTATCTTTCTGCGACTCTAAAAACTGGGCGAGGCATGAGACACTGGGTTTGAGACACCTGCGGGCGAGACACTGATGAGAGATCCAGGGTATGAGAACAACTTACAGGAGTCTCTGGAGACATCAACAGCGACTGTGACACACTGAACTTGTCCCTGTCTGTTGACCACTTCTCCTCCAGTGACTGACGAACACGGTTGTGCTGTATATGCTGTGGATGCGACATCATGGAAATCAAAGTAATTCATGGCATACAGTTCAACGAATTAGCCTTAAAGTTGGCATAAAAGTTAAATATTTAAAAACAATGTCTATGTTTATAACCTCTAACCTAAAACCTCAAAAGTACGAGAATTTGTACTTTACTCAGAAAGTGTTATCCCAAACATAACATTTGTAAAACCTCATAGGATATAAGGAGTGAGTGAGTGAATTTGGTTTTACGCCGCTTTTAGCAATATTCCAGTAATATCACGGCGGGGGACACCAGAAATGGGCTCCACACATTGTACCCATGTCGGGAATCAAACCTGGGTCTTCGTCATGACGAGCAAATGCTTTAACCACTAGGCTACCCGACCGAAGATAAGATATGATCCAAGCTCCTTCCCAGCGTGTGACACCTTTGTTACACCCTTGGTACATCAATGCAATCAGTGTGGAAGCGACCATTACAAGAATCTTGAAATTTGCCTTCTTACCCCAAATGCACTCACATTCCTATGTTTGTTTATGTCTCTTGGAATGTCATAATAGAGAATTTTTAAAAGGTTTAAAACTGACCAGATTTCCCAGTTGAATTTACCTTTTATTTGTTTTATAAGATTGGTTAGAGATTGCAGACTAAAGAAAATCACCCAACATCCCCACCTTACATTCTTACTATAACAATCCCATATAGTTGAGATAAAAATAGAAATTCAAATTGGCAAGGAAAATAATTTAGCTGGGGTAAGATTATTCGGCATCAGGACAGTTATCACTTGTTTGTAAACTCCAAGCATGGTTGTGGTCATCCATCACAGTGGGGAGCTCTGACTGGTGGTAGTATAGAGAGCTCCTCGAATGGGCTATTGCTTTAAAGTGCTTGGATATGATCTATGCAAGGGCAGTAACTCTTCCTACCTCTTTGTTTGGCTTCCTCTTTGAGTGTCTGGAGTGGGTCAATGGAGTCATCCCAGCTGACAAGTCCCCTTCGTAACCAGTATCACATTCTGCTTTCAGGATCTCCCCAAGGTCCACCAACTGACCAGGGCTCTGGACACAAAGTACAAATATAATTACAAAGGTACACATTGTCAAGAATAACTGGACAAAACCGATGCTGAAAACAGTCTGTGATTTTACCAACTAGAACAAAGTCTGAGTCTAGGAATTTTGTTCAATCTGGTAAGCCAAGCTAGTAATACTACATAAATTAAGGCATTGAGCAGCCTAGTGCTGAAGGCATCCCTTGTCATGCCAAAGAGGTGAGGTGAAATATGATTTAACATCACGCTCAAGATTTTTGCACTTATATAGCGACGTGCTTGCACATGTGGCTGCTTGTACTAATCCTAACTAATGCCAATTATATAGTGCTAGCCCACTGAGATACCATGCCACAGTTTAACATGAATACCCCATTTAGACACAGTATACTGACACCGAGCCGACCAGTCCTTGTTTTAGCCCCTTAATGCCAATCACTTTCTATGATGAAATAATACCCAATTTAATTAAAAATAACCAACCCATTGTCTGTGTGCTCCAGCTTTCTTCTCTATCTCTGCCAGAGCGTTCTTGAAGGGTGTAGGCGTCCGGGGAGTGGCATCAAGAAGAGACGGATTCAGATGTGGCGTGTTCAGTTTAGAGCTGAAACACAGGAGTCACCAATGAAAACATAAATTCAGTGATAGACACGGGCTCTTGTCTGAGACTAGTGAACATCTAGAGGGATTAGTTTATTGACAGATTCCACCTCTCATATCACTTGCATTTGCTTCAAACAAAATGGCCATGCCCAGTCAAGACGATCTGATCGATAATCAAGATCTATATAGTAAAATTTTAGCACATTGACTAAAAAACATGAAAAGATTTGGAAAATATCTGTTGACGCTAAGTTGCAAAGTTGCAAATTCTGCAATCGACTGAAATCTGCAGGACAGTTTACGAACTGGATGTTGATTTCATTTCGCGATTTTGATTGGACTAAGCAGACTCGTTAGTCCAGCTAAAAAGTAACTCAGGAATTCCAGCCTAATTTGGCAAGCGTGGAAACTGGACTTTTATCGTCAGTTATCTCCCTTGCCTCGAGAAGATGTGAGCTGTGGACTAGTTTGATATGACCACAGGTGTCTACATCTCAAATTGCACAAAAATCTAACAGTACTCGACAGAAAGTGGATGGAAAGGATACCATTATACTGCATGTTCCTAGAAACTATATAGCTAATAATCAATGTGCATTGAACACATTCAAAATACAGGTTCAGTGAAGATGTTAATTCTCACTGATTCCATCACTGCTTCCAACAGAATCCAAGTCATACTCGTACATCGCTTCTGAGTCAAGAAAACAAAGACTAATGAGTCTGATTGAATTCCTTTCAAAAAGTAAATTGGTTATTTCGAACTGATTTTCAAACACATTTTGAACAGCCACTGTAACAAGGACGTGCACTGGGATTGACAAAAAATATTTCCTTCATATTTCTAAAATGTTTTAAATTATTCTTTGAGTGAAAAAAACATGCTAGTGCATTGCAATCTAAAAAGACATCACTGAGGAGTGACCAAGCATAGATAACCAACCTAAAAAATCATAAAGACAATCCAGTGATTGATATTGTGAGCAACAACCAAGTCACCAAGCAAACAAACCAATCCATTTGGTGGTCTCTCAAGACCAGTCTAGGTCGCTGGGGACCTACTCTAAGCTGGAATCCAACAGGGTTAGACTTGTTGGTATGGAACTTTGACAAGACCTCTATCACTAATCTTAACTTGTATATAACTATGTTGACTATGGAGTTGGACTCACTTGTCAGCATCCTTCATCACAGGCGTCCTCAGTGTGTCTATACCCGAGGTACAACTCCGACTCTGATGGCCAACAGGGGTGGATGTCAATTTGCCATTGCCATATGGGATTTCAGGACTGTTCAAAAACTGCAACAAAAATTTGAATATCAGAATATATTCTTTATCTGATACTTAGCCTACATTACATCATGGAAAGAAGACTTCTGAAGATTGTATTCTTGATATAACATATTAAAGTTGTTGAACCAGTAGTAGGAGTTACCTCCCATGCCCCTGTGTGATCATTGTTGTTTACGTTTGTTTGTTGTTTAACGCCGCACTCAGCAATATTCCAGCTACATGACAGGGGCTGTAAATAATCGAGTCTGGACTAGACAGTCTTGAGATTGGTATCATGAGCATCAATCCACGCAATTGGGATACGATGACATGCATCAACCAAGTCAGCGAGCCTGACCACCCGATCCAGTTAGTCGCCTTTTATGACAAGCATGGGTTGCTGAAGACCTATTCTACCCCGGATCTTCACGGATCTGTTGTTTACATAATGTAATGCAGGCTAAGTTAAAAATAGCAGTCATCAAGAAGACTGCATCATCTTCATGCTAGGCTCCATGTTATGGTATTCAAGGAATAACTTTTGAGGTCAATGCAAATATTGGCAAATAAAGTAAGTAGAGAAGTTGACATCCATACTATTTTTTAGGGGCTTATGTTCATTTCAAGAAGGCTCATTAAGGACTTTGCCACAATAGCTGGAAGATTGCTGATAATTACTCACTCATTAAGGACTAGTGTTATGTCTGAGCTACTTATATAATAAAGGTACCACTTGTCAAGGGCAGTTTTGATCGTAACACACCTGTGAGGGAGAGAACGGCAGATTTTTTATTGGTGTGCCTGTCGGTGTCTCTGGCTCTGATTTGATGCCGCTCAGACCGAAGGGTTCCTCATTCTCATTGGTGTCATGGTCATCATCCTCAACAAGAAATGTTGGCATCACTTGACTGTATCCCTTGTCGCTAGCATAGCAGTCACGGGGACGAATGTTGCGCTGGAAACAAACATCAGCCAATCAAAACATTGATAAACACAGAAAGGCCAAGACAATCCATGCGATTGAATATACCTGCCAAGGCTCGGAATATACAAAACTAAAACACACAGTACAGCTGAAAAGATGAAAAGGCCAACTTGTCATGAAAAAAATACAAAATAATAAAATATTAAAAAAATAATCCCAAATCATCAAATGGCACCTGATCTGCGTAGCAAGTTTCATCTTGAAATATTCAACGGTTTGGGAGTTCTGCTCCGGAAACAAGCACTACCCTCATTTTCAGTATAAGTCCACTACATTGTCATCATGAAAAAAACAAATTAGAAAAATCAAAATCCCAAATGATCAAAACTAGACGATCCTGTCTAGCAAGATTCAAAAAGAAATATTAAATGGTTTATGAGTTCTGCTCCGGAAACGGAAAACAGACAGCAGTCTGATGGACATGCTGATCGATTTGCCAAAACTAACCTGTTTCCTGCGCTTACTCTTGCGCAAGATGGCTGGAGGTGTTGTGAGCTTGTGAGCTACAGGGGAGGTAATCGGTATCAGACCACCTGGGCTCTTCAGCTTGCCTAGAGAGTGGCCATCAAACCTCAAACCTGAAGACAAAACCAGACATGTAGCAAGTTGCCAACTGTAACATATTACTTCTGAAACAGTAGATTATCTGTAGTGGATTATAAGTCTTCATATCTGCATGCAGGGCTAGAAACTGGGTTAATTTAGAAATACAAAGCTGAGAATACATCACTCAAAAGAAAGTTCTTTGGCTCAAAACTCGACCACAAACTAATACCAGTCCAGGTAAATCTTTTTCATGATAGTAACCCAAGTTTGGAAGTCCATAAATTTAAAGTAAAATCTGAAAATGAATGTGGAATACAAGTTTCTTCTAGAAGACTTGAATTTATTTTTGAAGTACATCTTTCAAAACCAACAACTAATTCTCGTGAATATCCATTTGGGGAGCAGACAGAAACAGAGAAAATCCGAGGCAGAAGCAGGCAGAGTGGGCATCAGCCCAATCATCATGAACGTTGGAATTGTGCAGTGCGTCAAACACCAGGAATTAAGTATGACAAAGATGCTTCCATTCTCGTCCCAGGCCTGTTTGACCCTCACACGTACCTGTTGACCCTTTCTTCTGCAGGCTTGTGAACTTGATGGGGGTCACTCCTGTATGGGATTCAAGGCCACTGATGAGGTCCAAAGAAGACAGACCTCCAAATGTATTAACTTCCATCATGGCATCCGCCATATTGGCAAAGTTTCTATAAAGAGAGAAAATAGAATCTTAGAAAGTGAGGGTTACAGTGGATACCGTAAAAACATTATTCAAGTTAATCACTGAGGACACGAACAGCCTTCAAAATTCACTCCAGACGACAAAATTGTGCTTAAGACAAATACAAATTCAGTGATTGTAGTCCTCAATGGCTAGTAACAGCAACTCTATACCAATCAAGGGAGGTAACTCTGCAGTAACATTCAAGGGTTAGAGGGTTAGAGAGAGAGAGAGAGAGAGGGAGAGGTAGGTAGGTAGGAAGGTGGGTGGGTGGGTAGGTGGGTAGGTAGGAAGGAAGGTAGGTAGGTAGGTAGGTAGGTAGGTAGGTAGGTAGGTAGGTAGGTAGGTAGGTAGGTAGGTAGGTGGGTGGGTGGGTGGGTGGGTGGGTGGGTGGGTGGGTGGGTAGGTAGGTAGGTAGGTAGGTAGGTAGGTAGGTAGGTAGGTAGGTAGGTAGGCACTTACAACAATTGCATACATCAGATAATCATGAGTAGGATAAATAGTAACAACAAAAGGATAATACTGCAATAACATGGACAGAGAACACATGATGAGGAAGCTAATTAACCAGGATTAAGTATACATAGGTGGGGTGATTATTGTTTAATGAGTTCATAGTAGGGAGATGGGATGAAATAGCCTTGACCTGTTGATTGATGGCTTGTGTCGGAGAACGTGGACTGCTATTTTTCTTTTAGTGAAGTCACGGAGGTTGTTGGAACCTTTGGTTTGCTTCAAATACTTTCAGACTTTGGAGGTTGTCTAATAGCAATACCAATCTTTTACATGTGATATATAGTGTACATGGTGGAAGCATGACTTACTTGAGAGGAGTAGCAATATTGTCTGAGGGTTGCAGCGAGATCACCTGCAAGTTCTGACTGGATGCAGAAGGTGCAGTATTGTGCACCCAACCTTGACCTCCAGTCACAGACGACACATAACCTGCAGGCAAATGAAGAAACTTAAACATAGTCAGGGTTACTCAACCCCTCACTAACCCCAAACCCACTGCTGGGGTCACCCAACCCCTCAGTAACCCTAAACCACTGCTGGGGTCACCCAACCCATTACTAACCCCTAACCAAACGGTGGGGTCACCCAACCCCTCAGTAACCCCTAACCTTCTGTCAACTCCCCAGTAACCCCTAACCCTCTGTTGGGGGCACACAACCCCTCAGTAACCCCTAACCCACTGCTGGGGTCACCCAACCCATAACTAACCCCTAACCCTCTGTCAACCCCCAATAACCCCTAACCCTCTGCTAGGGTCACCCAACCCCCCAGTAACCCCTAACCCTCTGCTGGGGTAACCCAACCCCTCAGTAACCCCTAACCCTCTGCTGGGGTCACCCAACCCATCACTAAACCCTTACCCTTTGTCAACCCCCCAGTAACCCCTAACCCTCTGCTGGGGTCACCCAACCCTTCACTAAACCCTAACCCTCTGTCAACCCCCCAGTAACCCCTAACCCTCTGTCAACCCCCCAGTAACCCCTAACCCTCTGCTGGGGTCAACCAACCCATCACTAACCCCTAACCCTCTGTCAACCCCCCAGTAACCCCTAACCCACTGCTGGGGTCACCCAACCCTCCAGTAACCCCTAACCCTCTGTCAACCCCCCAGTAACCCCTAACCCTCTGCTGGGGTCACCCAACCCTTCAGTATCCCCTAACCCACTGCTGCGGTCAACCAACCAATCACTAACCCCTAACCCTCTGCTGGGGTCACCCAACCCTTCAGTAACCCCTAACCCACTGCTGCGGTCAACCAACCCATCACTAAACCCTAACCCTCTGTCAACCCCCCAGTAACCCCTAACCCTCTGCTGGGGTCACCCAACCCCTCAGTAAACCCCTAACCCACTGCTGGGGTCACCCAACCCCTCAGTAACCCCTGACCCTCTGCTGGGGTCACCCAACCCCTCAGTAAACCCCTAAAACCTCTGTTGAGGTCACCCAACTCATCACTAAACCCTAACCCTCTGTCAAACCTCCCCAGTAAACCCTAACCCTCTGTATGGGTCACCCAACCCATCACTAACCCCTAATCCTCTGTTGAGGTCACCCAACCCATCACTAACCCCTAACCCTCTGTTGAGGTCACCCAAACCCTTAGTAACCCCTAAACCTCTGTTGGGGTCACCCAACCCCTCAGTAACCCCTAACACACTATCTCAACAAGTGATGGTGCTACATGCATTGATCAGTTGTGCTTACCTCCATTCAAGGGAACATTTTTCCGGCCAACCTGCAAATAGAAAAGATAAGGTTGAGTACTTCCACAGCATGTTGCTGCCTTTTCAACATTGGTAGTGCATGCTGAAGTTATCCCCAAAGGTAGATTAAACCTTGTGTTACATAACTGGAGAATGTTGAGTCATGTTCTATCACTGATCAAACAGATATGATCAAACAAATAACAGTACAGAAACATAACTGATGTTCCATTTAGATTTTGTTTGTTTGTTGTTTAACACCGCACTCAGCAATATTCCAGCTATATGACGAGAGTCTGTAAATAATCGAGCAGGACTAGACAATCCAGTGATTGACATCATGAGCATCGATCCACGCAATTGGGATACGATGACATGCATCAACCAAGTAAGCGAGCCTGACCACCCGATCCCGTTAGTCGCCTCTTACGACAAGCATAGTTGCCTTTTACGGCAAGCATGGGTTGCTGAAGACCTATTCTACGCCAGATCTTCACAGGTATTTCGAAAGGAGCAAGGTTACCATATATGGTTACCATGAATATAGACCAAGAACACAATTCCACCTTCAATGTACAGTGGTGCTGGCTATGAATATTCATTTCAAGAATCTGAATTCTCAGACCAATCATTCAGAGCTCCAGATAAGCTGCGTATCTGTGTAAAATACCCATCAGAAATGTAGAAATATGCAGTAAAATAAAATCCAAGCGTATCAAAAACGCAACGAACATTACAGATACGCTACAAAAATAAAACTTGTGCGTACCATCAAAATATTGTGAAGCAACCCTGCATATTCAATTAGCAAATCAGCAACTTTTTTTGAAATTATGAACAGGCATTCCGTCAACCTTGCCAAACTCCACGATGACAGTTACATCATGATCATTTGCCATCACACTTTCTTGTGGAAGTATCGTGGTAGCGTCTTACAAAGCTCTTGAACCCACACGACCCCAGTTTGCAGGGACTAGATGAATAGTGTTTTTAAATATTTAACTTAAATACCCACACGTGTAAAAACTAGTGGGTAACAGAAATTTGAATACCCAAATAGAATTACTGATACCCAATGATTTTAAAATGCATGGGTAAAATACCCACAACACCAAAAGCTTATCTGGAGCTCTGATCATTAATCCATTGTAACGTTTTATTACTTTTAATCACCAACAGAGGTTTGAAATCGGTTCATATGTAAACAACTTTAGGCTAACATGTGGAAATATTTGCATCAAATGGAACCACCATCCACATCCTTATCAAAGAAGTAATTGCCTCACCATGATTTTTATAGAAATAACAATACAAAGGAAATTTTACCAAGATTCTTCAATTTTTTAAACATTTTGTTTATCAGACATAACAGTGGATCAATTGTTTTGACTGTCAAGATGGAACAGTTGATGGATCATTCCATCAAAGACTCAAAAACTAATGTGTATCATCTTGCTTCCTTTGATCCAGAGTCAACACTTACGTCATTAGGGAAAAGCTGGACAGGAGTAATTCCTTGAAGGTTGTTGGAGGTACTTGGGGTGTAGGGGTGTGTGAAAATCTGAACCGGACTATTTATCCGTCGTGCTTCTTCGTGTTCATACTTTCTCTTCATCGTAGAATTCCAGTGGTTTTTTATTGCATTATCAGTCCTGAAAAACAAAACAGTTATTTGTGTCACACGCTTCACACTAGTGGCAAGTGCTACTTCTTTAGACATGAATGTAGAATGCAAATGTGAAGATATTTACCGTCCAGGAAGATATTTGGCTATCTCTGCCCAGCGGTTGCCAAGTTTACGATGAAGTTGGTAAATAAGTCGGTCTTCTTCTTCTGTCCACGCAGTTTTCTTGATGTCAGGGTTGAGGTGGTTGTGCCACCTGTCAGGAGAGAAACCAAATGATGTCACCATGATCCCTCACAGACTAAAATACTTCGGCTGAGGTCACCCATCATACATTCATACCCTAATCTCATTTTATACAGATGTTTCTTGGAGGACTCGTAAGGTGAACTTTCATTTTAACCGATAAGCACAAAGGGGTATTCATTCCTGGTAATATGATCAAATTGTTCATACCAGCATATCAAATTTCTGCATCTCGAAAATGAAGTTAATAATGAAGTTCCGAATGTAAATGATTTAGTCTGCATCTTTATATTGTCATCTACAACCTGTCAGTTTCTGGGTGTTATGGCATCTGAACCCAAAAGGGGTAGCAAAAGGAAAGTCTGTGATGCTGCAAGTCTCACACGTTTACCACGTTGGTGAAAACAACAAGCACAAGCTGACAAACCTAGAAACATAACAAGGCGAACTAGTAAACCATAAACAATTAGTAAAACAGTGTGTACTTGTTTGACTTTACACACGGTCTTGACCGATGAGCACTGATTTAAGATGAAATTCAAAAAGATTTCCACAAGCTCAAAAGCCAATTACAGTTGTCCCATGAATACAGTGAACATGCCTAGGTTACCTTTCACGACACTGTTTTCCAGTTCTGCCTTTGAGATGCTTAGAAATTAGTGTCCAACGTTTAGGTCCATACTCTCCAACCAGCTGAATAACCTTGTCATCCTCCTGTGAACGCAAGGCAAGCCAGGTCAACACAAAGCTTTCAATACCTGTTACACAATATGACTTCACTCACACGAAGGATTTTACAGGGGCTTCCAATAACACATGGAGCACTCGCAAAGTGAACAAACTCCCAAACCTATCTATGGACAACATCGGCGTTTGGTTTATTCACCTTTGTGCCCAGATGCTTAAAAAAATTAAATAATTATTATTTATACTATTTCTACGCTACCTGACAAAATGATAATCACCATTTGATGAAGATAGACCATATCCATAATAGCTGCTAAATCTATAGCAACACATCATTGAAAAATACATAAAATGTCTCCACATGAGAACAAAGAATTAAGAGAATTCGCACTTATACTACTCAACCTTTGCTAAGCACATGTGACTAAATATGAATATGTTCTTAGCAAATGTTGAGTAGTATGGATTTAGACAGGCAAGACGGGTTAACAAAAAAATAGACATATGTTAGACAAGACTGAAGCCTTGAAGTCTTCATTGATCTATTTACCATGGTCCCTGCAACATGAAATTATGCACATAACGAAGTTGGCTTTAGTGATGACCTCACTCTAGTGATGTTAATAAAGCAACTAGCAATCCCTCAGCTGTGGTAATTAACACTGCTATTCAAGTAACGAAGTGCTTATTGAGATCAATCAGACCTGTGTCAGCTGCCAGTGTCAGTCGGAGAACAATGGATAGGAACATGATTGTTTGAGCTTCAAAAAGAAAGAAACCTAATTTGTTTACTGTGGTCTCAGGTCATAAATATATCAAAAGTAACTTTGGACTGGCTGTGTAACATATTTTTTTAGTTTTGAAAGATGTGCTACTTGAGCATCAAAATTTCATATTTAATTTCCATAAACAAATATATATGCTTTTATCATGTTCATGTTGCATATTTGTATTAATGACCAGTTGAACAAAATCAAATCATTCCAAACAAAGTGAGCATCGCTGGCAAATTGGGAAAACGGTTTTGTTCAAACTTGAATCTATTTTTACGTTCATAACTTAACTTCAGACATGGGAGTTTAACAATGCATTCAATGCAATAATGTTAAAGTAAGCATTAAAGCTGTTTCCTCTTAGTGGTCCTCGTAATGACATGGATGACATATTGCCGATGTGTCGTTAAATTTCAACTCACTCACTCACTCTTATTGGTCCTGTTATCAGTGAAATGCAAGTCAGCTCTACAAAGTCATAACATTAGTAACAGCTAAAATAACAGGAATTGGGAAATTATTAAATCAAATTTGGACATTTTTCATGAACATTTGCCTTAGACTTGGGGTCAACTATCAGTCTCTAACAGGAGGCAAGACACCTCCCTGTGATTGGATGAACAGTTAGATCTAAGATGGGATGTTGTTGTTATTTTTTTTATCACCAAAGACAACTTAAAGTTGACAGTTACAGAAAGTGATTCATTTCCCAACAGCTAAGTACAGAAGCAATAAAATCTTTAGGGCCACAGAAACCATAGTCCCATAGGTTAATGAAAACTAGGGGTAGACTTAACTGGCCCTTTTCCAAACTAACTTGCCTAAAACTAAATGATGGAGGCCACAAAGCGGCCGAAACCCAAGGTCACATAGCAACTGTGTTGCCCAGAAGGACTCCCAAAATTTTAGAACTGGCCACGGGCCAGCAGTTAAATTAACCCCTGGAAACACATTTAAAGTTTGTCTATGAACATTGATGAACAGAATAGAACTGAACATCTAATACAACTTCCACAAATATGAGTCAGTCTTTGAATGATAGTAACCAAGTTAGTCCCAAACCATAAGTGTTGCAGTTACAAATCACATCTTACCTCCTTTGTCCAAGGTCCTTTGATGAGATCAGGGTTGAGTACCTTATACCATCGATACTGACACTGGATGTCTGTGCGATCAGTGAAATACTCCGATATGGCTTTCCAATCACTGATGCCTCGCACTTCCACAAGTTTACGTAGCTTTTCGTCCTTAAAAACATCAATTGTTTCATCAAATAAAAAAGTGTTCATAAAAATATTGGGCAATAGACTGATCATGCACATGTATACAGTAACATGTCTGTGATCCTGACAGGGTTTGATCATAACCATATAAAAATGCTTAGTTTCTAGTAAATAATACTATTATATTACACATGTTGCCATGTTACATGGCCAAGAACAGCTCCAAATAAATGCACAATTGTATTGGTCCACTCATCACTTCTATTGCAATATTTATATGTAGGTTTCCAAACTAAGTGCCCCTGGCAAGCAAATTGGGAAATGATTTCTGATTTTCCTAATTTCCAAAGTATTATCATGATCATAACCTTGCATTCAATGTAATTATGAAAACATAATACCCTTCCTCTTTATCATATCCATTGGTCCTGATATCACTGAAATACAATTCACCTTGACCAAGCCATCACATTAGTGATTATTAGCATGTTTATGAATGGTTGACATTCAAACAAACAAGATATCTACGGGGTCAAATAGCATCTTTCTTGACATCATTTACAATCATTACATCAGTACAAAGTAACTGATCACTTGTCCAGGTGCCATTATATAGCTGAAATATTGCTTACGGCGGCGTTAAACAACAAAACAAACAAACAAACGTGTCCAGGAGTCATTGATTAGAAAGTTTTGCATCGATATATCGACTTAATAGTTTCATGATATATTGATTTTTTAACTAATATAATATTCTATATGTGTATAGATTAGGGCTGCAACGAATACACTATGAGAAGAATACAATTTGTATCACGAAAATTGGGAAACGAATATGAATATTAATTCACGAATACAATAACAAGTCAGCAGTTGATGTATTGTTTGTTATGTTCAGTGAAGCAATAACAACAAATTATTTGACATGGTTTGTTAATTATTAATATATTATAAATTTCTATACTGCACTTATCCAGGTGCTAGTATCTGCTCAATTGTGACAATGACCAGTGACCACAAACTGTCAAATTAAATAGTATAAGAGTGTTGTCTTTTGAAGAAATCTAGGCATATAATATGTTCTTATGGATATTTTTATTTAAATGCACATGATTGCATGTTCATAAATATTCGGTTCTAGTGGCCACGAATAATGAATTCAATTCATGAATGGATACAGTTCGATTCACTGAATATGCAAGTGAATCGTAACAGCCCTAGTATAGATAATAAATTCCCATCTCGTCCTGCAAAATCTTGACAAATGTAAACATTCCTGAGGCAATGAATTATTAATTCAGTACATTGGTATCATGATATGCCATGACCTTATGAATCACTCTACAATTAGATGGAACTTCATTAATTGTAACCATGGAATGACCGCTGTAATACAATGGATGTACTCACCTCTTCTTTTGTCCACCTGCCTTTATTAATGGCTTTCTTCCACCTCACATGAGGTAGATCGTAGTCATGGTCGAGTGGCTCTGCATCATCTGTGTCCTCGTCACTGCTCAGGGACTGTCGGCTGTTCGACCTGGAAATTAGGAACACCATGAACATAGAAATCTTGATTTTAATTCAGTTATGAGGCAAGAAATAGCTCCTACATGTGGCTGTTGTGCACATGGTCTCCAATACAAAGACATCTGATATGGTATTTTGATTGGGAAGTTATCACAGTTGGCATGTCAAATTGACATAAAAATATAAAGGGTTGAAATATTTTTTTATGCATGAAGATGGATCAAGCCCAAAGGGACTCATCTTTTTGCAAGCTAGTGTATACAGGCAAACATTTGGTGAATAATTAGAATCTTGATTCTAAACATTACAATACTAATATAAACATACAAAACTTAACACAAACAGCATGCATAGACCAGTTCAAGAGCATTTCTGGCTACAACATCTGAAAATTGTACCTCTAAGGCCATGAAGGCTGATCAAGGAATTATGGTACATATATCATTGTGATTAGAAACAGATGTGTCACGATCCATATGGTATCAGAATCATAAAGAAAGCTTACTTCACCAGTCCTACAAACACAACTAATTTAGGAAATCCCTTTCTAAACAAAAATTCATTTGGGCCCGGTCTTCATTAGATACAGCATTTTAATCAATAATAAGCACAGAAAATACAATTCCCTTCAATAGATTAGGCAAAGTAAAACTAAGAACCAGAAAAGACCATTCTACCAATCTACACAAAGATGAAGGGTTAGTTTCCATCCAACATGATAAGCTCCTAACATGTTATTGAACATCAACAATAATTTGGACCACAAGGCAATAGAAAATGATGAAGTTATTGTCAATAAACAAACCACGGCCTCCTGTTGAAATATTGTGCATAATTCAACATGGTCCATGAAATCGTGGCCGTAAATTCAATAAGTACACATGGATATCGTCTTAGAATACTTCAAATATGATCCTGAACTATATGACGTCATCATTACGTCAAAATATTTATTCTAAAACAATACATTAGAATGTTTACACGTGCCGAATGTTACACGTAGCGAACATGCATTGTGACGTTTCAAGGTTACGTCAGGACTTCAAAGAGATTGCCGCCACAATGACAGGTACAAGAAAGTCAATTTCGTCAACATGAAACTGCAAAATACCAATATATACAGTTACCACAATCAAGCTGTTGATGCATGTGGCAGTAATAATGTTCAAAGGAGGGGAAGGTATGGCCAAGAAATGAAAACAAAGAGGCAACACCCCGCAGAGCAGGTCGTGCAATGTGTACCCGGTCCACGCACCTGGCATTGTCGAGGCCAAGGTCAGCTTGGCTTATAACATGCATACAACACTACCAAGCCCTCGTTTTAAAAACCTTTCATTTGAGACATGGACGGTGTATTCTTCGCCGGTGGTAGTCCATGTTATCCTAGAAATGCACTGACAACACTCCACTTGCAACAAAATTTGAGAAACTGACCCACATCGTTCGCCGCAAGAAGGACACACAAACCTTTCAAACTGCGCTTCAGACATTCCGATCGTCAATTTTCAGCTTCACTGGACCTTCCATAACCTTGCAGTAGCAATCGAACTTAATAATTACTTTTCAATATGTGAGCTGACAAAAAAAATCTAGTAAAACACGACAACAAATTTCCATACGAAAATGGCGGACTGTTGTCGAATTTGCGCGCTCCAGTTAATGAGATGCAGAAACTCCGCAGCCGATTGGTCAAATAAATAAAGCATCATATTTATTTTTAGAAATACGGGAAATACGGAAGTAAATTTTGCCGATATCCTGTGGTTCTTTGTTTTGAAACCAAGAACTTAGAGTGAATGTAGGATGCCAGGAAGATCAAATTCAACACAACTAGCTATAATAATTAAGAAAACACGGTATCATAGGCTGAATGAGATGTAGTGTCAATCTCTGCTCTTTGAGATATATATATGTTATAGATCTACTAGTTTTATGTTATGAACACAAGAAAATACGTTGCCTTGATTATGAAAAAATATCATCGTTTGGATCCCTTTCCCCAAAAATATAATCAATATTAAACACTAAGCGCGCGTTAATCAAGTTTAAGTAGTGAGTGATTAAGGTTTTACGCCGCTTTTACCAATAGTCCAGTAATATCACGACGGGGAACACAGAATTCTTCACTCATTTTACCCATATTTGGAATCGAACATTTGCCTTCGGTGTGACGAGCCAACACATTAACCACAAGGCTACACCACCGCCATCGTTGTTCACAAGTGTATATAATCGTGATCCCCATTTCACCTCACAACAAATAGGCGGACCATCCACCCCTTTTGAAAACAAAATGTAGTATGTTATAGGAGGTAAAATTATCTGAGACAGGATTTCGATATTTTGGATCCTTCCCTTTAAAAAAATGCTGGATCCGACCTTGCCTTACTTACACATTTGCGCACATACACACACTTTCGCATTCCATACTTATCCATACTTATTTCTACTATACACTCATGATATTTTAGTGATATGGTCTGCATTCAATCCTGTTTTGTAGATTGTCAATGTCTCACATCTTCGCACTGTCGTCATGGTCCGTGTGTTCTGCTTCTGCTTCTGCTTCTGTTTCTCCGCTTCCAAGCTATGTCTGGGTGGCCCGTCTCTCTACACTGACATCAACGACAGAATGGCCTCCTGTTCGCGACTTGCTCGGGTACTCCTCCTGGCCCGGGGCTTGTTTTCACGGACATACACCAGCTGCACTGACAATAGCCTCCCCTCCCTGTGCAACACCTTCACCAGTTTGTTTAGGCCCAACTGCTGTCCTGCGACCTTACAATTAAGCAGTCTGTGCCAACCCGGAAATTTGCTTGGGTACATTATTCTACTCGTATCAAATTCTTACATATTTATTTAATGTGAACCCTAGCGTCCATATAGAAAATGACGTGCGAGAAGCCAGTAAATGATATTGCAATTGAATACCATGTCAAGCATAGAATGTAAAACAGTCTACTGAATTGATTAATCACTGAGGTACAGTCTACTATTTCATCGTCTATATCAGCCAGAGTCGACAATGACTGACATGTTTTATGTATCCGGGGCACTGATGTCAGATTCCTTTGGTGATCCCCGACGGCGTCATACCACGAGACGTTGAAAGATGGCACTCCTTGTTGCCCTGCCTGGCGCTCGGCATTCAGGGGTTAAACAAGGACTGGCCGGCTGGGGGTCAGTATAATGTGTCCGAGTGGGTTAATCATGTTAAACTGCGGCATGTTATCTCAGTGGGCTGGCACTATTAAAGACTAACATATAGTCCCAGATGTGAGGTGAAATGGGGTTTAACGTCGCGTCCAAGATTATTGCACTTATATAGTGATGTGCATGCACGTGTGTGTGTGGCTGCTTGTACTAGTCCGGACTGATTCCGATTTATAGTGCTAGCTCACTGAGATACCATGCCGCAGTTTAACATGAAAACCCCACTCAGACACAGTATACTGACTCCGAGCCAACCAGTCCTTGTTTTAGCCCCTCAATGCCGAGCGCCAGACCGGGTAACAACAAGTACCATCTTTTAACGTCTTTTGGTATGACGCGGTCGGGGATCGAACCCCGGACCTTCCGCTCTCCGGGCGGACGCTTTACCACTCGACCACGGAGGCTGTCTATAGTCCCAGAAATAAGGTTACCTTATATATGTACTGTATATGTACTCTACTACCCAGCTTATTCTGTCATACAGACACTAAAAAAATATTTTCCAATACAGTCCATGCAACTCCACAATATTTGGCAAGTCGAGATTACTGCAGTATCAGGAAAATCTGAAATTGAAGATAGTCTCTGGGCTCCTTTTTATTATATAACTATAATTTAATAACTGTTTTTCTTGTAAAACGTTCATTTTAGAGACTAGTTGTTAGTCTATGCGGGTCACTTTGGTTTGGTCTGAGAACGGAATCTGGTATGTTTCGTCACACTCGGAAATTATTTGATGTAGGATTTAAAAAAACACAGAACCGCCGACGAACTGTCCCTTTAAACTCCTACCACACACTTACTCATCTCCACGATCGCGATGGTAATGCGAATTGACTAAAGTGACAGGTCGGCTTAAAAGTGTATCTTATTAAGATTTGGAGACAAGATTTGTTATCCTACAACACCCCCTATGGCTAAGATGTCCGCACTGGTTAGACGTCTTGATGATTAAGTCGGTATAGAAGCTTTTCCAATTACCTTTGAGATCGGTGAATCTGCCTGTTCGGCGGTCTCACGCCATTTGCCAAACACTTTAAAATCACAAATGTCACGATTGAGTTCTCCCACTACTCAATACCTGTTATCCAAGTGGTGAAATGACTTACTCCCTATTATACCCCATTTGTCAGACACCTTACGAAAATGTAAAACATAATAAACAAATAGGCATTAATTGTCATAAGATGTAATAGTCACTCAAATAATTGAAATAATTGAACAAAAGTAAACCCAATTTCAGACTATTATTGTGTCTCATAGGCTTTAATCGTCACACAAATAAAAAAAATTAAATGATCAAGAGTCAACCCAATTTCACCAGTCTGCTCACAACATTAAATACTGCTTTGGGGTCTGTAGGGGGCGCTGTCTAGTGAGAAATATGATGGACGTGAAGGCGCTAGACTTGCATCTAGTATTTTACAGAAAAAAAACCAGTTGTTAAATTATAGTTATGAAATATTCTAATAAGGACCCCAGAGACTCTCTTCAATCTGAGATGCTGCAGTAATCTAGACTTGCCAAACACTATAGACTTGCATGGGCTGTATTGGATATATTTGTTTCAGGGTCTGCATGACAGACTATGAAGGTGCGTCCTGTCGCTCGAACTTGATCGCTTAGTCCCGGTAGGGGGCTGGGTATGGGGTATGACCTGTTCGGCGTACGTGCCCTTTGTGGAATGACAGTGCTGTAAAGGACGAATACCCTGTCCAGACTGCCCCAGGCCGAAAATTAAGCTTTGTTCGAGGCCCCATTTGGATTATATCATATATTTTGTTGATGTCTGAGACCGTAAAATAAATATTATTTTATGGGCTCTGTAGATATATATTTTTTAAAAAGATAACTTTATTTCTGGGACTAAATGATAGTTTAACGGACAAAGTGCATGTTTTAATGAATTGTTCTATTTATGAAGAGTTACGTTTCAACCTTTTTTCTATATGCATCGTTCATAAACGCATCATTTTAATAGTTTATGACTTTTAGAAAAATTTATATGGTTGATGTCCAGTGTCAATCTGTGAATATATTTTGCCAAAACCTGTTATCATGTTTTACAACGCTGTAGAAACGAGTTATGGCGTTAATGCATTTGCTTACAGACGTACATAATTTTATACATAATATTCTTTCTTAATTCCATTTGATCGATGTTCATGTTGTCAATCACTGGATTGTCTGGTCTAGACTCGATTATTTACAGACCGCCGTCATATAGCTGGAATATAGATAATTGCGGCGTTAAACATCAAACAAACCCCAAAAACCCAAATATTTCCATTTGGAATGGCTTTTGTATATTACAAAATAGTACGTTGTATACTTACTTACTTACTTTGGAGATTTAACGTGCGCTTTCCGACTGATGCGTATTTCGCACACGGGTACGTTGTATGTATTGTAAGTGTTTATATAAGGTGAGTCTCCGGTTAAAATAGATGCTTGCCTGTCTGTCTGAGACAGTTTAGTGAGACTGTAAAAACATCCGGTATCGGTGAGATCGACGTTTTGATTATCAAACCGGGAGAGGATTCTGTTTGTTTTCATCTTTTGTTCTTGAGAGTATTACAAATCAAGTATAAACACCACTAACTAGTCGACTGTCTTCAAAATGGAGTGAATATGGTTTTACGCCGCTCTTAGCTATATTCAAGCAATATCTCGTCGGGGGACACCAGATATGAGCTTCACACATTATACCCATGTGGGGAATCGACCCCAAACTTTTGACGTGACGAGCGAACGCTTTAACCACTAGGTTACCCTACCGCCCTCAAACCGGAAGAGGTGTCATGTATTGTTCAAATATGTAACCGCAGTTCTTACTGATGAATGGAGTATTTTGTGTCAACTTGATACCCGCTTTGTAACATGATTCAAGATATGGCCTGTATTTTCAATCTTTTAAGCCACTGGTCTGTTTTGCCCAGCAAAGGACCGCTTTGACCAAAGAAATGGTCCCTTATCACCAAATCAGTTGGTCCGTTTTGACTGGCCTCCCTTTAGCTCAAGCCCAGATACAGATTTGTGAAAAGTAGGATGCATTTGTGACACACAACATATTCTAAGCAATCTGTGTTTGGTAGTCGTGTTATTTTTGTTGAAATATACACATCACAATAAAAGTTAGTTCTGTCGAGTTATACGTTTACCTGTATATAAAATTATCCGTTTTTTGTTGTGTGTTGTGTGTGTAACGAAGCGCTCCTAAAATATTCAGCAGCACCGCCATCTTATATCTGAGTGAGTGAGTATGGTTTTACGCCGCCTTTTGCAATATTACAGCAATTTCACGACGGGGGACGCCAGAAACGGGGTTCACACATAGAGGAATCAAATCCCGGTCATCGGCGTGACGAGTGAACGCTTGAACTTCTAAGCTACCCATCTACAGACCTAGCGTCTGAAAAAGAAGGCCCCAA